CTGAATTATGGCTCTCAATTTCAATGTAACTGAACTATGACTGCAATCAACGGAAAAGAAGAAAAGCAACACACACAAAGAGATAGTTATAGCTTCATGGACCAAACAGCAAAAGACTAAGGGCCCATCCAGACAGGCCCCATATCCCAGGATCTGATGCTAGGTGTTCTGTTTAACCCAGATTATCTGGCAGTGGGGACTCATATAATCCAGTTTAAAGCAGAAAACCTGGAATCAGATCCTGGGATATAGGGCCTGTCTGGAAGGGCTCTAAGACTCCATGTACAAGGGCTCCCTGTTCTTCTAGAAAAAACAGACTGGAGGTGTGAGGTCCACTGTTTTCTTGAACCTGATACCCCAAAGCCATAAAAAAAAGTGGTTCTCAATCTGTGGGTCCCCAGATGTTTTGGCTTTCAACTCCCGGAAATCCTAACAGCTGGTAAACTGGCAGGGATTTCTGGGAGTTGGAGGCCAAAACACCTGGGAACCCACAGGATGAGAACCACTGCCATAAAGGAATGATGCCATGTGATTAGCAAGTGTGTCATCACACCTTTACATCACACTTTTTCTTACAAGTCAGGAAAGAAGTATTTAGGCTAAAGGAAGATGTATACACTTTCATAAGGAAAACCTTGATAAACTAGTTTCACTAATAATATTATTCTTAATCTGTATAGATTACGCATAATATTAAATCTGTTGTTTAAATTAGAACAGGACTTTTAACAAAGTTACAATTTCTCTAGTGTCTTTAGAGGACCCCCCAGAACAGAGTAGGAGTCTGGAGGGGTTATAGCAAAGATACCTGCAAAGCTATGCTTCCTCAGATACCTATAGCTAGCTAGAAATTCTCAAGGTTTGAGGAATCCCAAATTCCTCAAACCTTTCATATGGTAGATATGTGCTGAATTGATATAATTTAATGCATTAAGTAAATGCTGAGTAAAATCCATCCTTGGTGACCTCTCTGTTCTTACTCCCCAGACTATTTATCTAGGATCCCTTTTTTTCTCCTCTCTCTCCTTCAAACCTCATTTGAAAACACAGCTTTTCTGTGATGCTTTTGGCACAAGCCCTATTCTCTGTACTCTTCTATAATTACATCCAAGTACTGTATGTGTTACTAACAATGCACATTCTTCCTGTTTATCTCAGCCTCCACTTCCTTGCATTGCTCTTAGGTTGAATGATAGATTTCAAGTTTTTTGGGTAGGGAACTATATTGTGAGTACAATCAATAAATCACATGACCCACTATAATAAGCCAAATTGGCCCAAACTGGCTTTTAAGTTACCACACACTTCATTTTGAAGCCCCAGAGTGTCTTACAATGGCTTCACCATCTAGATCCATTAGCTTCAACAATGTTGCAGGATTCAGTGCATTCAGACCGTCTGCCAATGATGGACCCCTGAGAGGAAGTCTGGCCTGAATTTTAGGAAGCACCAGTTGATAACCTCATGCTTGTTATGCGCAGAAAGAGACTTGGCTTTCTGGTCAGAACATAAAATACAGGGGACAATGCATCAAGCAGATACACAGGGAAGGATTTTTTTTTAAATGTGAATACCTGGACTGGACGATATCTGAAGGCAGAAGTAACAACCATTACTGAGCCTGGAAATAAACAGCGGATGTAACATTTACTCTGGTTATCTTAAAGGTCTCTCTTTTAGAACAAAGTTCATTAGTATATGAAAAGCCATCCACACTCCCAGTGTCCTCTGGAAACTCTCCCAGTGTTTAAACTACTCTTACTTCCCACTAAAATGGCCTTATGTGCTTTGGGTCCAATATATCTTTGAGACCGTATCTCCTTTTATGGGCTCTGAGATCTGCCAGGGAGGCCCTTCTCTTGGTCCTACTGCTGTCCCAAATACGGTTGGTGGGAACGAGAGAGGGCCTTCTCTGTGGTGGCCCTCCAGCTCTGGAATGTCTTCCCTAGATGATGATGATGATGATTAATATTTATTGGAGCCCCCGGTGGCACAATGGGGTAAACCCTTCTGTCGGCAGGACTGTTGACCGACAGGTTGGCAGTTCGAATCCAGAGAGCAGGGTGAGCTCCTGTCTCAGTGGGGACATGAGAGAGGCATCCCATTGGATGCTAAAACATAAAACATCCGGGAGTCCCCTAGGCAACGTCCTTGCAGATGGTCCATTCTCTCACACCAGAAGCAACTTGCATTTTCTCAAGTTGCTCCTCACATGAAATAATAATAATAATAATAATAATAATAATAATTATTATTATTATTATTATTACATCCTACTAGAATTTAAAACTACTGAACTAAAGGCATAAAATCGAATTGCCTTAAAAGTGTTCACAGACTATTCTCAATCAACCTATGTACCACCCTTGTAATATGTTTTATTTTATATTAATTCAAGATACACTTTCCTCCATGTATCAAATAGTTTCCAAATTTGCTGAAAAATAGAATGTACACAATGCACCTCAAGGGGGAAGTATAGTCATTAACCATTCATCAAGAGGAAATACACCAAACCATTTGGGCAACCCCATCAACAGAGAGTTATGGGAATACTTGCCAGGTAATTTGAAGGGAATTTTATTTTCAAATTCATACTCAACTAGTCCTCTCAAATTGCAAAAGCAAGCTTCCCATGACAAAAACAAGGCAATGAACATGGAGCAACGCACAGCAACTTAACAGCAGATTATGAAACTAACAAATCAAAGCTGAGCAACAATAATAAAACTTGTTTCTTCTGTTCCAGAGACCAAAAATAGGTTTTAATTAATTGTGCAAAAGCTGGAAGAATGTCAGGCAGGCTGGATGGCCTCCCTGGAAAGACTTCAAATCTAAGAAATACAGAGGGAAGCATCACCAGCAGACCTATAAGTTTCGCCCTCTCCATTAGCTACACAGGCAACGCCAAGCTCCGAGAATCCCAAAGTAACCTTGGCCCAGGCTCCTGAGGGCTTTTAATGTCAGCAGCAGCACTCTTAGATGGCCCTAAATGAAGAGCATGATTATCAGTGTAGCCCATATATAGGTGCACTGCCCTATTTACTGGTTACATTGCACAAGAGCCAGTTCAGAGACAACTGAACACCCACTCCCCAGCCAAAATCTCAAAATCATCCTGGCTGAATTTCACTTCATTTGCTCTTCTGCAGCTTATGTCCTCTTCCAAGCCACAGCCCAGGAGCCACACGACTCTCTAGGATCTAAGAATGGCACAGCAATGGTTATAAGGACATTTGGAGTGGGTTTTCGATCATCTGTATTCCCTCTCCTTACAGCTTAAGTAATTACAATGTAACCACCTATGATGCTTTTCTAAAGGACTTTGAGGTCCCATATTTATCCTTATATAGCAGGCCTGCACAACCTGTGGTCCTCCAGGTATTTGAGACTCTAGATCAGTTTTTCTCAACCTGGGGATCCGGATTCCCGGGAGGGGGGTCACGAGGGGGTGTCAGAGGGGTCACCAAAGACCATCAGAAAACACAGTATTTTCTGTTAGTCATGGGGATTCTGTGTGAGAAGTCTGGCCTAATTCTATCATTGGTGGGGTTCAGAATGCACTTTGATTGTAGTTTAACTATAAATCCCAGCAACTACACTTCCCAAATGTCAAGTCTTATTTTCCACAAACTCCACCAGTGTTCACATTTGGGCATATTGAGTATTCGTGTCAAGTTTGGTCCAGATCCATCATTTTTTGAGTTCACAGTGCTCTCTGGGTAAAGGTGAACTACAACTCCAAAACTCAAGGTCACTGCCCACCAAAACCCTTCCAGTGTTTTCTGTTGGTTATGGGAGTTCTGTGTGCCAAGTTGGTTCAATTCCATTGTTGGTGGAGTTCAGAATGCTCTTTGATTTTAGGTGAACTATCAGTCTCAGCAACTACAACTCCCAAGTGACAAAATCAGTCCGCCCCCGCCCCCCCTCAACCCCACCAGTATTCAAATTTGAGCATATCAGGTATTTGTGCCAAAATCTGACCAGTGAATGAAAATACATTCTACATATTGGATATTTACATTACGATTCATAATAGTAGCAGTTGTGAAGCAGCAACAAAAATAATTTTATGATTGGGGGTCACCACAACATGAGGAACTGTATTAAGGGGTCGCGGCATTAGGAAGGTTGAGAAACACTGCTCTAGTTCTCTGAAACCCTGGTCAGCCTGTCCAATTGACAGGAATTCTGCGAGCTGAAGTCCAAAACACCTGGAGGGCCACAGGTTGTGCAGACGTGCTCTAAAGCAAGGATGAAGAAAATCCATCCTTGTAAATTGTGTGGAACCTCCAAACAACATTCCCAAGTGTCCCAGACCCTCAACATTTTCCAGTGTTTTCCCCAGGCAACCCCCCCTCGCCCAGCTAAAAGCTACCAAAATCCTACAATTTGGATCAATTCCCCCCACCCCTTTGCAGCCATACAAATCCCTCCACAAAAGGGGGTGGGGTGTTATATCAAAAAGCAAAACCAGAAGTGGCATTCCAATCATTCCAAATGTACTACTGTTGCCAAGGAGGAATGAGAGGTCAATATAACCACCCCTTCTCAATGCTGCTGCTCACTCCTGTTCTATAGGCCGTTGTTTTGCTAACTTCTTTCTTCACCGGCTTCAGGTACAAACGCGTTCTCACACAACACACCCTTAGAGCAAAAAACACTGCAAAGGCAAGTTTGGGAAGCAGAGTCCATATATACAAGGGGATATATATGTGCACAAAGACCCAGCAAGTACCTCTAATTACTTCTGGTGAAAGGACGTGAAATTATTTGGGAAGAGAAAAGTGTCCAGGGTTCGGTCAGGCAGTGGGGTGCTGTTTCTTTTTTCTTAAGCCTATCCCCAATAGTCCCAAGAGGATGTGTCAGCCTGATTGAGGAGTGATCATTAATTTCTCTCTGGTGTGCCTGTCAGTCAGACAAGTGTTAGTTGTACAGTGCGCACTGGAGAGGATTATGTGGCAACGTGGGTGAAGGTGTGATTGGTCGGTCTCAATTACCTGGGCATGCAGTGAAGCAGGGTAGGTGAAAGCAGGCGGAGGTAGAGCAGGTGCTAACTCCGCTGGGTAGAGAGGGTACGGCGCCCACACTTCAGGGCTACTGGGGTAAAGTGCAGGCACTGTGAGCTCATCTGCAAGAGAAGAATAAGGAGAGTTCATGGTTAAAAACAGCAAACGCAGAAGACACAATGGCAAACACAAGAGAACCTTCTCCACAGCCATGTTAGGATGGTTCCTTTGAGAGTCTAGTATTTCCTTTAAAATCACAATTAAAAATTAGGAGGGACAAAACCCTATCTGGTTTAGGATGCAAGATCCAAGACCTGTAATGTTTAAAAAGTTTTTTTTTTCAACAAGAACCAGATCCTTCATGTGAGGAAATGCCTAATGGAACAGACTTCACAAATTTTGGGGTAAACAGATATAGCTGGAGATGGAGGTTGATGTATTTCAAGGGTTTCAATGGCGGTAGGGTGGGAAGAAAAGAATCGCCTATTCTTTGTTGCATTAAAAAAATAAATGGCAAAACATACACACACACAACCCCCAAACACAATGCATTTCAGCAAATCTGACTGTAATTGCATAATGAGTGATATACAGTTGCTTATCCAACCTTCACTCATCCAACGTTATGCATTATCCAATGCAGCTTGCCTCCCACACGCCAGCTGTTTCAATACATTGCGATGTTTTGGTGCTAAATTCGTAAATACAGAAATACAACAGTTCTGCAAAAGGTTAAATGCACTAACATATATGCCTGCCAAAATTCCAAGATGTTCGTTCTGGACATGCCATAAACACCTTAATGCACCTTCTGATGACATTCCAACTTCCCTTTTTCAACTGCAACTCTTGAAGATCTCTTAATCTTTGAAGCTTCATGTTGAGAAGCACAGAGAAATGAAACAGGGCCTTCTTAGAGTATTTATTTATTTATTTATTTAATACACTTATATACCGCAGTATCTCAGCCTGGAACGGCGACTCATTGCGGTTTAACAACAGATAAAAGCAATATACAATTTAAAAACAGCAACATATAAAACAATACGAATTATTGGGCCACCAATAAAACTTCATGCTTCTCATCACAAAAATCGCAGTCCAGAGATCGTTGTCCGTAATTGACCAGTCCAAATTGTCCATGGATTCAGTGTTTGATAACTAGTTAAACGCTTGACTACACAGCCATGTTTTTAACCTCTTCCGGAAAACCATCAGCGAAGAAGCCGATCGTATCTCTGAAGGGAGGGTGTTCCAAAGCCGAGGGGCTACCACAGAAAAGGCCCTGTCTCTCGTTCCCACCAGCCGCGCTTGGGAAGCCGGCGGGATAGAGAGCAGGGACTCTCCAGAAGATCTTAGGGCCCTGGCGGGCTGATAGGCTGAGATACGTTCGGATAGGTAAGTTGGGCCAGAACCGTTTAGGGCTTTAAAGGCCAAAACCAACACTTTGAATTGAGCCCGGTAGCATATCGGCAGCCAGTGGAGTTGGCGCAACAGAGGAGTTGTGTGCTCCCTGTGCCCCGCTCCAGTTAGTACCATGGCTGCCGCCCGTTGGACTAGTTGGAGCTTCCGGGCTGTCTTCAAAGGCAACCCCACGTAGAGAGCGTTGCAGTAATCAAGGCGGGATGTAACCAGAGCGTGGACTACCGTGGCCAAGTCAGACTTCCCAAGGTACGGTCGCAGTTGGCGCACAAGTTTTAATTGTGCGAATGCTCCCCTGGTCACCGCCGAAACCTGGGGTTCCAGGCTCAGCGATGAGTCCAGGATCACACCCAAACTGCGAACCTGTGTCTTCAGGGGGAGTGTGACCCCGTCCAACACAGGTTGTAAGCCTATACCCTGTTCGGTCTTACTGTTTTGCTTACTGAGTATGCTGTTTTGCATTTTGCTAAGTGGGACTTTTGATGTTTTTCAAGCTGAACCCCATTTTTTCTATTTTTGGTATCATTTTGGCTAATATTTCTTCCATTGTCCAAGAAACATTAGTTTACTGGAACTGCTTTGTAGTTATATGCATTTGGCCTTACTGCATGTGGGGGGATTACAACAGAAAGCAATATTGTGATGGTATGCCTGAGCCTTTGGGAAAACTATACTGTCTGGCTTTACTCGGGGGTTATCTAATACCTTCTGTTAAGATTAAGACCCTTAGCAGACAGAGGCACTTTAGGCAAGGTGAAAAGATAACTAAATGAATTTACTGAAACAAAATGAATAAAGGGTTAATTCCACCCGGGACTATCATAAGGTAACTTAAAACAATACATTACAAAAGGAGATCTTGCTGGTTGCAGTCATCTTTCTGGGGTCTTTGAAAGTCTCTCTTGCCTCTGTACAAAGCGATGGATTATAATTTGTTACTTACAAACTGTCTTAATCTGTGAAGCTTAGACTGGCCAAAAGCTTCTGTTGTCCTTTGGACTGTTGGTATAATAATGCTTCCAAATGTAGCAGGTGCTAAGAATACCTGTTTTGGATTGCTTGGCCTAGGATTACCAGACGATGCCCTAAGCCTATAGTGACTGTAGAAAAAGGAGGAGTCCAGCAAGAGAGATCTATACAGGGAAATGGAAAAGACCAACTAAGACTGGTATGCGGGGTGATTTTAAGCTCCACTCAAAAACTACTACAATGGAAGGTCTCTACATTATTGGGAAGGCCTATAAACAAGGGGAACTGAAGCAGAGGAGAGGAGAAGGCCAACACTTCACAAATATACTGGATAAGCATGATGTAAATCCTAATGCCAGCAACTAGTAAATTGAGCTAGTTTAACTATATATCCCCAAGATTATAGAGGTAAGAAAATTACCAGGACATTTGTTAACATCAGGAGCTTAGAATTTTTATAGTACTTTGTAGTGTGCCACATATTTCATTTTAATTATATTCATCTAATCCTTACTCAAGCCCTGTACAGAAAGGGAAGAGATCTTGTGGCCTTCCAGATGCTGTCAAGGGAGCAACTACTATTAGTCCTAGCAATTTCAACACCATCTGCAATTTCGCAATACTTAAGAGGACCACAGCTGCTATATGGAAGAACAGCTTTGTCTGTGGGTAAAAGGGAGTAACTTGTCTAGGACCACCAAGAAGAGATCACGACTCAGCCAAGATCTGAACCAAGAACTTGAAAGCTCTCTTAATTAGCAACATCTGCCATTAGGAACATGGGGAGTTGGTGGAGAAGAGATTAGTTTTTATTGAAGAGCAAGCCATGAAAAGGACAACCTGTTGTTTCCTAGTATATATTCAATCAACTGATGGACATTTTAGTACCAGCTTACTTCTCCTTCTTGCTATGCCCTGGTACTACTCCTCAAAGCTTCCTACCCACTACTTTATTTCAATGCCCTAAAATCAACTGCCTTCTGATGGATAAAGATAATTTAGATTAGGCATGTTAAACAGTTAATCATTAGCTTTAGCAAAGGTGTTAGATGAACTGTTTAAAAACGGGGTTGACTTTTTCTGTACCTGTTCCAATTCTCTTTTCAAGATGATGCAACTGAACAAGAGCCAAATGCTGCTCTCTTAGAAAGACAAATAGGATACTAGCAGATTCTGCTTTTAATCTCTTATATGGTCTGTTTTCTTCACTGTGCCACATACTGGTCCTGGCACTTTACAGCCCCAATAGTTAATGTCAGTTCAGACACCACCACTGTATATGTGAAGTATGTGTGTGTGTGTGTGTGTGTATGTATGTGTTAAAAAAAGAGATGCAGACAGAAGTATGTCAGAACCAGTTGTTTCTCTTTACAGAAGCAAAATTAATAATCCAGCCTGGAAGGCATGAATGCAGCTTTTAATGTCTTTTCTGAGGACTAGAAAACAAACTACAGCTTTTCTTAATCTATAAGACAGGGAGAATGAATATTAATCAATTTCATCTCAAAGCAGTCAGGTTTCTAAGTTGGCAGAGGGTTAGCCAGAGCTTGGGAACATTATGCTTTGGGACTACAATTCCCAGCAATCTCAAAGAAATAACTTTTCCATGGGGATTCCAAGAATTGTAGTTTACAAAATTAACTTTACTAAGTCTTGAATTCCATCGATATCTGGTTCCTTCCAACACAACTGAACTGTCCCTCACTGCAACCTTGTCTTCAATCCCAAAGCTCCCTAAGCAAATTGCCAGTGCCAAGCATCTGAGGCAAAAGAGTCCTTCATGCCCCTTCCTTCTCACAGAAGCAGATGCTACAAGCTGGAGAAACACCAGTAGGAGTTTAAAAGAGGAAGGAGCAGAAAGAGAAGAGTAGCTTTAGCTAGGACTGGTCTACCGCAGCAAGAACAAGGCAAGCAAGGAGCTGTGACAAGATTGGTCCTGGTCCTCTTCTGGTCAGGATTGACTTTACATTACTGTTCCCACTCCTCTTTGCCATCTCTGCTCAACAATGATGGTGATGCTATCTACAGTGAGTTGTGTTTGCAGAAGATAGGTATGGAGTTTTAAGAAACTGGACTTTGAATGCTGTGAATGCGATTTTTCTGCTTCTTGGCAGGGGGTTGGATTGGATGGCCCACAAGGTCTCTTCTAACTCTATGATTCTATGATTCCATGACTTATCATCTGTCCACACACTTTTAATATAACATAACTACACACTTATATGTGGCAGCTTGCTTTAAAGTTCACGTTTCCAAGCTTCATCATACTCTGTTTAGATAATAAAGACTAAAACCTAAAGATACATAGAAATGTTGCCTTCTAATCCTTGTGCTAGTAAAAAGTTCTCTCACAGATTGAATCATCCTCTTCTCTGTGTATGGAGTAAAGGAGAAGTGAAGAACTACATTTCTCCTGAGTCCTTGAGTGTCATCTTGACACTTCTAGAAAGTCAACCCATGAAACATAAGCCCCACCTTGGTCTTTGGAAGGGGAAATGTCTCTTCATCAAAGAACCCCAAAACCCACCTGCAGCTAAGAAAATAATTATTACTTCAAGCATTTACACTTTGTCAGCATCTGACCAAGGTAACATGAAAATACTTTTTTGGAGCCTAATTTTCTCATTTTGCATCCTTTCCCATCTATTTCTCATCAATAAAGTTATGATTTATATACTCTGTGATTTAGTGTTATTTGAGTGCATCCTTTGAAGATGTACACAAACCTTCCTCTAAAGCAAAGCTTCTTGAACTATGGGGTCACCATAACTGGATGTTGGGGTCCCCCCCAAACACACTTATTTATGCTTATTCTTCTCTTTCGCAAACACATCTCATTCTGTTTCCTTTTCTCTTTTATGCAAGTCTCTTTCTGCTTTCCCCTTTCACATGCCACCCTCTGCTTTCTCCCCCACCCCTCAATTTCTGCTTTACTTTCCCTTTTGGCCATGCATCTGCCTGCCTGCCATCCTCTCTCATGCCTCCCTTTGCTTTCCCTTCTCTCTCTCCCTTTCTCTCTCATGCGCTCACATCTCTCTGCCTTCCCTTCTCTCACGCCCTCAGTCCTTTATATACTTGGGGTTGCATAAACCTTTCACAGGTAAAAAAGGGGGTGCGAGTTATAAAAGCTTATGAAGCTTTGCTGTGGAGCACGGGAATAGTGAGCCCCATGTCACTACTTTCAACCCATGAGAAGGAGGGAAACCTAATGCAAGCCTCTTGTGTACAGCCAGCTTTATTTCATCATCTTTGTCTTCAAAGTGCATTGCCCACCCCCCTGCTTCCACCTTTCTGCATATATTCCAAAGCACAATGGCATCCGGAGGTGGAGGAGTATGTTATTTCCAGAGCAGCCGGCTCAAGAGTTGCCTCTATGTGGAGCTGACAGACATTGCATTTTAATTACACTGGAGAGTAAGTGTTTATGCTGTTGATTTTGAAGTAAGATAAACAGTAAAAAGTTGGCAAGAGCTAATGCAAACAACCTTCCCCTCTGCCATTCATTCCTAAGGCCTGTGGTCATTCTTGGAGAGAGAATGCAATAGGCCTATAAATACACACAGAGAGTCATAATCTTGCAGAAACATGTTGCCTAGGAGGAGTTCAGTAAGAATGCCAGGCCAGTGGGCATTTTCATGCATCCAGGATCTTTCTCTTGTACCCACTACATAAAGGTTTCAGGACACTGCTCTGCTGGCTCTTTCAAGTTCTTCCCATGCAGTCACAGACGTTTTCTGCTACCTTTGCCTCTGGCATTTCATCTTCTCCTCTTGTCTCACTGCTCCACTGACATTTAAGTTGTAAGCTGGAGTGGGGAGAGGACAGGACGATAAATACCGTGGAGAAGGACGGAAAATGTATTACTTATTTATCTATTATATAAAACAAATATTAGCCTTGAGCTTTCCGTGGGCAATTTCCCAACATATGAATTGTATGGTCAGAACGGAAGCAAGAGTCTGAGTGAGAAAGTGAGCAAATTCATTCTAGATTGGTTCAAGAGTGAGATCATAACTTTGAGATACGAGCACACACATTCAAGTTTCATCTTCAATGAATATGCTATTGAGGTTTTAAAGAAAGTTGGCAAGTCGTAAGTTTTTCTTTTTTACAGCATTAAAAAAACTCTATAAACCTCTGTTCAGCAAGGAACAATATTAGTACAAAAGGTACAAGCATATTAACAAAATAACTGTCGTGGCTTCAGAGGCAGCTATTAATGCATCCAACGTAATTTTTCCTTCCAAAAGCAGAAATCGAGCCTCTTTGTTTCTCAAAGTATATTCCTTCTCAAGTCTTAATCAGGTATGGTCAGTAACCCAGCAAAGAACAAGACATGGCATATAGAGGACTTAATGGAGTTATTTCTGGATGTGACAACATGACTGCAGAAAAGATTATGAGCCTTGGAATAAGGACAGATAGACATATGATAAGACAAATAGGTAGGTCTTCTGCTACAAGGTTTTTTAGCTTCCCACAAAAGGAATATTCATTTAGAACACCATCTGACTATTCCACTTCTGTTGCCTGCCCCAGGGGAGCGTGCTTGCTCCATCCATGTTCAACATTTACACAAATGACCAGCCACTGCCAGAAGGGACAGAGAGTTTCATCTATGCAGATGATCGTGCCATTACTGCTCAAACAGGAATCTTTGAGATGGTTGAACAGAAGCTCTCTGAAGTTCTAGGTGCTCTCACTGCCTATTACAGGGAAAACCAGCTGATCCCTAATCCATCTAAAACACAGACATGTGCTTTTCACCTTAAGAACAGACAAGCATCCCAAGCTCTGAGGATTACCTGGGAAGGAATCCCACTGGAGCATTGCATTGCAGTGCATTCAAATACTCAAAGTGGGTGATAGAAATAATATCATACGAAATAATATCATAATGATAGAAATAATATCATACGAAAGCTGACTGGCACAACCTGGGGATTATCCAACTGCAGGTCCCCCAACAAAAATGATCTTCTGACATTCCTCTTGCAAGGACAGGAAAAATCCACCATAATCAGACTAAGCCTTTTTATTCTGAAAGCTATCAAGAAAAGAGAACATTTCTTGAAAGAAGAACCAGGAAAATAAGATTAAGAAGGTCAGCTGCTGTCCTCTCCTTTTTGTCTTGTCTTTTACTCATATTTTATTTTGAAATGGTCATATTACGGTCAAATAAATAAATAAAGATAAATATGTGGACAAAGAAAGAGGAAAAATATAATAGCCTGGCATTTTTGCTCCAAAATGGAGCAAAGCAATCAGTGTTATCCATGATACACCATCATCACTGAACTACAATTGATCATCTGCATTTGCTAATTTGATTATTCATGGATTTAATTAAAATGTTTTCTCTGGGAATCTCTAGACACTCTGGCAGATGTTGATCACAGAGATGTGTTGTGGGACCCAGAGATTCCTTGAGAGGTATTCTAGTCAGAAAAAAACAACCCAGTAGTTGTTTTAATCATGGATTTTCAACTTTTGTGGGGGTCCCGCAACCTAACTTCAGTGACAGGTATGTGTTTAGCCATTTTTAAAGACATTGGCATTATCCTAGTTGATTATCCCTACAATCTGTTATTCGTGATGGATATTTTTACATGACATTGTTTGCATTATTGATTCACAACTTTACTGTATTTTAATTGTAAGTTGCTTTGTCTATTTTTTGCGATCAAATTGCCTTGTGAGTTTATTAAATGAATAATTTTAATAGAAAAAAGCACACACTCTTTCCTCCCTTGATACTGTTAAGTAATAATAATAATAATAATAATACAAAAGCTTTATTTGTATCCCCCCACCATCTCCCCAAAGGACTCGGGACGGCTCACAGAAAGCACTCAATAGTGTGACAATATACAAATACAACAAAATACAAAAAGATAAAAATTAATAACAGTAAAATTAACCCAACAATTATATTTAAAACAACAAATGAAACCCCAATTAATTTAAAACATATTATAAAACCCAGCAGGCTGTGAATATTGTGACTGTATATAATATCAGCCTCCATAAAGTACAGAAGTGAAGCAAGTCACTGGGTACTTGAATGTAGTGATTAAAGCCATAAGCATAGTCAAAGGCTTGTTTAAAAAGTCATGTTTTCAGGTGTATCTGGAAAACTTGGAGTGGGGGCTAACCTAATATCTCTAGAGAGGGCATTCCAAAACCGGGGAGCCAGCACTGAGGAGACCCTCTCTCATCCCCACCAGCTGTGTTTGAGATGGAGGTGGGATCAAGAGGAGGGCCTCCCTGGCAGATCTTAGGGCCTGCGCTTGTTCACAGAAGGAGATGAGGTCTCAAAGATAGGTTGGACCCAAACTGTACAGGCATCTGTAGGTAATAACCTGCATTTCGAATTGGGCCTGGAAACTCGTTGACAGCTAGTGGAGCTGCTTTAATAGGGGTATGGTATGCTCCTTATACCCAGCCCCAGTTAGCAATTTGGCTGCTGACCTTTGCAACAAACTGCAGTTTCCGAGCTGTCTTCAAAAGCAGCCCCACGTAGAGTGCATTGCAGTAGTCCATTCTAAATGTGACTAAGGCATGGACCACTGTGGCCAAATCAGGCTTTTCGAAGTATGGTCATCCGTAACTCATTTGTAAGCCTCTCTTGATTCTATGTTCCTTAAAAGCATAGATGAAGAACAATTTCTAAAGCATTTGAATGCCCCAACATCTTACTTCCACCCCTGTAACATGGCTATTGGGTGTGTGTGTGTGTGTCAGTTTTGAGGAATGTATTACAGGAAGAAAATAATTAATGTTCAAAACACACATACGCCCAGGTTTTCTAGTCCGTCTCCAATGATAATATTAATAACAACAACTCTTTCTCTAGACACATATAACATCTAAAACACAACCTTATACATTCTCCCTAAGTGATGCAACAAGCCATGCTCCCAAAGCTTAGATTATTCCTCTGGCCAGCTAGTTTACATCAGAAGCCAACATCACACTTACAGTATTAATAATGCAACTACTGTCTTATATTATTGTCTTAATATTTCTACATAATTGATATATAATGAATATAAATTTAATAAATGCAACAAATCCATATTTTAGTGTCAGAGATACCTAGATGCCAGATGTGTTCCCAACCTTCAGGGATGTCATGAATGTCACCTGCCTTTATTGACATGACATCAAGCATCTGTCAGCTAGCTCACCTTTAACATCCAGATACTTGGCCCTGTTTCATCATACAGACAGCTTGGACTTTGTTAGTTGACGTAATGGGAAGGGCCTATGCAGCTGAATTTGGCCAGATGAGGGTATGAGGAAAGGATTTAAGGGTCACCTGTAGTGAAATAAATGTTTCAGGCTAAAATCAATATACACTCCTTTTGAGAGTAATGAAAGGTGAAGTACTTTCCTGTTAAAGCAAGCCCAACTGCTGTTTGGCAATCAACATACAAATGTGCTACAATTCGCTGAAGATGAAGCTCTTAAATTTGCTTACTGACCTGTAATGGAACTGGTGTGCATATACATATGTGGACAAACACTTACATGGCTCCCTGGTGATGAATTGAGGTACAGTGTTGGGGGTGGCCGGAGTGCTGGGATTTGGTGTTCCCACTAATTTATTCTTCGCCATCTTCGTGTTGGCCTTAGCAAACTCTAGCCGCAACGTCTGGGGAATTTCGGGGTCAAATCGGATTCCCTTTTGTAGAGAGAAAAAGAAGCGAAGTCAGTCCCAGGCTTGCCATGAAAAAACTCCTTTTCAATATTGAACCTATTTTTAATGTATTTTGCGGATCTGAATTTGAAAAACAGGATAAAAATGCACCATACATAGTTACATACTCAGACATTCAATATTTTTATCAATTTTGTCATTATTCAGTTTTGATCTAATGTGGAGGCTGATGTCTCAGTGCAATATCTTTAAGGCATTTAGAGGTATTTTTGTGTTTCATATTAGCCAATGTAAGCATTTTGAAAATCTATTAAGACTTTAACCCCTTATTTTTTACTTCATAATCCCAATAGAAATCTGAAGTCATACAGTATTACAAAATAAAAATATCAAAGCAAGTTGTGAAAAAGATTTGCATGTGATGGAGCAAATCTGAGATCATTTTTAAATTTAGAGTACCAGATTCCTCTATGGTTCCCACCTTTTTTTTTGGACCAGGGACCACTTGACTAGGGACCACGCTCCAACATTAGTACCAAAAAGGTTACAAATCAGTTTTTGGTCAACTGATTCGTAACCCTTTTGGCTTCGTAATCAGATTTGGTTTGGTTATTTGGGGTGCTGATTCAGAAAATTGCATTGGATAGGCCACATTAGCTCTAGTTTCTGATACAGAACATATGCCATCCAGTAGTTGCCATCTGCTCACCCACAGGAAACAATAGGTAATAATCTAGAGCTGAAGTGGTCTATCCAATGCAATTTTCTGAACCAGCACCCAAAATAACCCCAGGAACAGGCCTAAAAATGAAGACAACAAGATGCCCCCGCTTCCAGGCACCACATGGAACGGCTCTGCTCAGGTGGAGGGAGCAGGAGGAGAAGCAGCAGTCAGGAGGCTTGTTGTTGCACCTTTTGTGGGTAGTCAGCCTCTCCCCTCCTGACATCCCCGTTGCCTTGGCACTGTAAGAGTGTTTCGCGAGACCAGTCAGTCTTGTTGCAACGATGTAGTAACAGTGAGGCTGTGGACCATATTTTAGTTCTTGGGGATCACAGGTTGGGAACCACTGCTATAAAACCACCATGCAATAGTAAAAATGCATTCAGGTTGCATCAAAAGGTACTACGACAACACAGTATCAGAGAATGACTGCAGTATTACACAAATTTTAATAGAGGAAAGGACATGAAATCTTCATAAGAAATAAACAAAAACAAGAACTGCTACAAATAAATACATTGTTGGAAAATAAAGAACACACACAAGGGGTCCAGAAGAGTCCCCACTGTAGGAGGTCCAACAGAAGTATGTTGTTCTTTAAAACTATGGTTACAATTATATTGTTCATGTTGATTTTTTTAAAAATACCAAAGTCTAATAGCAGAAAAAACTGGGTTTTTTCTTTTTGTTTATTTGTGTATGGTAACCAATTCTCAATTACCATTTTTGGAATTAGAAGTCCTCACAGGGCAGTATTCAAAGAAATAAATAAAGCATAAGAATGTATTGCTTAGGAAAACCAGAGATGCAGGGTGAGTAAACAGGATAATAAGGCACAGAAAAAGACAAATTCAAAGTAAGAAAATGGGTAACAAGAACCTCATATAGTTGTCTCTCCATACTGATGGTTTTTGTATCCATGGAATCAACCATCTATGGCTTGAAAGTATTCCATAAAAAGTTAACCCCAAAAGCAAATGCTGATTTTGCCTTCTGATATAAGGACACCATTTTACTGTACCATATATTAGGATTCGAGCACTCATTGATTTTAGTATGGGGGATTCAGGAGCCAAACCCCAGCAAGAACTCTAAGCTATATTTCAGAGAAAGGCAATGGCAAATCTCCTCTGAATAAATCTTGCCACGAAAACCGTATGACTGGAATGAATGGCAGTGTAGACGCATATAAAAGCAGATAATCTGGATTATATAGCAATGTAGTTCCAGCTTTACAGCAGGAACAAGAGTGCAGCATTGAAACAATCCCTTAGGCCCCTTCTACACTGTCATATATAATCCAGGTTATCTGCTTTGAACTGGATATGACAGTGTAGACTCATATAATCCAGTTCAAAGCAGACAATGCGGATCTTCTGGATTATATAGCAGCGTAGCAGGGGCCTAAGACTATTCTACCCTAACTTCAAACTGTGTCAACCAAGTGCTAGTTAGCAATATTTTCCACCTAGTGAACCTAACAGCATACTCTTTCACTTAGGACATCAAATTTCTTTTCAGAAGAAAAACACAAATAAGCCTCAGACCCATACCTCTAGAATTCTATTACTATGCATGCCAAACTCTTTGCATCTCATAGTTTTTGAGGTATGGCTCTGAGACAGTATTACTATTGTTATCCATCAACTGTTTTTCTTGTGTTGGGAAAACTGTCTTCTTTAATCTCTGAGTTTATAGAGTTATTGTGGCAGTAATCACATACTGCAAAGTTCTTCTAAATTTTCTTTCTAGATTATCGTTTAGCATTCCCAGCACATAAAACTCCAGTCTCACCTTAACAATCTCTTCTGGCATCAGATGTATTTGAGTCCAATACTTCTGAACCTTTCTGCAAGACCACCACATGTGATAAAATGCCCCAATGTTTACAATATCTTTCCTTATAGATCTTCGAGAGTCTCTGGTGGCAATCGCAAACAGTACATCATCTTACAAATGTTTTTCCTCAAAACACTACTAAATTTGAAATTCTTTGATTGCTATTATTCTATCCTGCAGATGATACAAGACAACAATAACACACTGTCTAAGACACCCTGCTGAATTCCTCACTAAGATAAGTTTGGAACCAGTTAAAGTCTTGCTCGGAGCGTCTTATAGGCTTTGCCACAGTACAAACTTGGATTGTAAATATTGTGGCACCATCCCTTAGCTCTTGACTCCAAAGGTCCCAAAAATGTAGCCAAAAGCCTAAGAGCTTCTTGCTAGAGATTCCCAAACTGAAAACAACACAAATATACCCCAGTTAAGCAACTTGATGTGTCCCTAGGCAAATTTTCAGAAAGGGTGGTATCTTGGACAGAAATAACAAAAAGAGAAAAATGAATCCCCAAATTTCATCACAAAACATGAAAACTGTTGATTTTTTAAGTAAAAGAAATCATACCAGGATGCATTTTAGAAGAAGCTTTCACATGGTCTCTAAAATATTCAAAGTATTTTTCTTTACTTATGCAAGGCTTGTTTGACCCGGTTGTTTCATAGGCATAATGTTTTGAATAAAACATTTGTTGGAATATGTTGAACTGCTTTCTTTTTTGCTATATAGAAATTTATCAGTATCCCTATTCTTTCTATGTTTAATGTATTGTCGAAGGCTTTCATGGCCCGAATCACTGGGTTGTTGTAGGTTTTTTTTGGGCTATATGGTGATGTTCTAGAGGCATTCTCTCCTGATGTTTTGCCTGCATCTATGGCAAGCATCCTCAGAGGTAGTGAGGTCTTTCTATGTTATTTCTGCCACTGGTATCAAATTTTCTGTAATAGAAATAATGACTAGGACTTCCTTAACTGAGGCACACCTAGTAAACTTGTGCGCGAAATTTGATTCTACCGTTTCTTTCGTGTCTTCTGTTTCTTCGGAAGCACGAAACAGGAAGCTCCCTCCCCACACAAAAATCTGCTTGACACAAAAGCCTGCCTTTGTGTGAATCTGAACTTGCCTCCTTGCCTTAGAAAGAGTGTGTGTGTGTGGCAGGGCATGCAGGCAGGCAGGCTTGGAGCTGTGGTGGAGTGTGTGTGGTGGGTTGTACAGGCAGGCAGGCCTGGAGCGTGCCTACAGCTGAGCGCCTCTTACTCTAGAGTAAGAGATGCTTGGCTGCAGGCATTGACAGGCACGCACACTTTACAAGCCTGCCTGCACATCCTGCTACAAACACACTCTCTTTCGAGGAGAGTGCGTGCGTGGCGGGGTGTGCAAGCAGGCATGGAAAGTGTGCACGCTTGCCAGTGCCTACAGCCGAGTGCCTCTCTTACTCTAGAGTAGAAACAGCAGCTTCCAGGTAAGAAGAATGCAAGCTGGGAAGGGGAGCCAGTGGGTGGGAAGAATCCCCCCCCCCCATAATGGTCCAATTTTCAGGCCCTGAGACAAAGAACCGAAAACAACCTTCCCAATTTTGAGAGGCTTACAAAAATGGATCGGGGCCCCCAACGAAAGCCGGGACACGAAACGGGACAATGTTTCCTTTGAATGCACATGCCTAACACCTATAATACAAATTGAGTTAAGAAGCTGCACATAAACTAATAAAAAGGAGAACTTAATTTAAATTATTTTAAGATAAAGCAATTGGCTTAATTTGTAATTTACTATTTCCATAATTAACTGATTATTAACTTTTTTTTTTGTCGTGTCAGGAGCAACCGCTCCTGTTGTGAGAGAATTGGCCGTCTGCAAGGACGTTGCCCAGGGGACGCCTGGATGATTTTTGATGTTTATCATCCTTGTGGGAGGCTTCTCTCATGTCCCCGCATGAGGATTATTATGAGGATTATTAACTGATTATTATCTTATTAACTGGAGCCCCCGGTGGTGCAGTGGGTTAAACCCCTGTGCCGGCAAGACTGAAGACCGACAGGTTGCAGTTTCAAATCCAGGGAGAGGCGGATGAGCTCCCTCTAGCAGCTCCAGCTCCTCATACGGGGATATGAGAGAAGCCTCCCACAAGGATGATAAAAACATCAAATCATCCAGGCGTCCCCTGGGCAACATCCTTGCAGACGACCAATTCTCTCACACCAGAAACGACTTGTAGTTTCTCAAGTCACTCCTGACTCGACAAAAAAAATCTTATTAACTTACAAAGGGAGGCTATAAATGTAAAAATAGTAATTAATAATTAAATAATGAATAATTATTTTTCTCCAAAGAATAATTCCGCACACAAAAAGCAACTTAAAAAGGAATTCAGTGCAGTAATAACTGTAAATATGGCTCACACTATCCACATGAAGATTATAAGGACTATCGATCCAGTTTAAAATAACGTATATATTTTTGTGT